GTTGATTTTCCAGCTCTGTTTAGATCACTTCTTGTTTGAGTTAATTTCGGGTTCATTTAGCTCATTGGTGAATATTTTCACGGCGAATTCGGAGGCTTTGTGTATGGTCTTCATGAATAATTTATAGTTCTGCCCCATTGACGACTGAGAAATAACACATTCTGAGGTAGGTTTTTTTAACTTTTTATCGGTATTGCAAGTGAAGGAAACTTCATTTTAAGTATTAAACATGTTTCACGTAAATTATTTCACATTATACTGTGTAATTTTTTTTCCTCGGCGAAATAAATAAGTCATTGTTCTGCTCTGTTGATTTTCGTGAGTTCAAATTGTAAAATTGTTCATTACAAGAGGTTTATATTCGTCATGTAACGCTTCTCCGAGACTAAATCGACGCCAAAATAGTTTATACTTGAGGAAAACAGTTCGCAAGAGCCCAGGCTACGATAAATATGCATTTGCTTTCAATTTTTGTGTTAGAGTTGTCATTGTATAATTTCAGTTGAAATAATGCTGCAAACTATTTTTGTGAAAGTCTTGCGAAATTATATGTGAGTGTTTGAGGAGCGTGTGTGCTTGTTTGTATTAAAATCGTGTAAGAGTGCAATTGAAAAGAAATTCCTGTGGTGTAATGGTATCACGCTGGTCTGTTTCTGACCAGAAATTCAGGTTCAAATCCTGACAGGTCTCTTAAATATTGCACTTTTTGTGATCATGTTTTAAATTTTTTTGTGAGAGTATAGTTGTGTTATGGCTGAGCAGGTCACAGATGAAAGTCATTGTGGTTACGATTTTTTCGATATTTATTTCTGAATTATCATCGCATTTTTTCCAGTGGATTCAAAGGGTGTACTGTCAAGATGTCCTGCAGTGTGTTGACAAGGTTAAGGCTTCCATAACCTCGGTGTTTGGCAAGATCCTAAAAAACGATTCAACCAGGGTCTATCTTGGAAGCTGCTCATGATCTTCCCGATGAAACTCAGGTAGGTACAGAAAAAAGTGACTGACAAGGCTTTGAAATTCAATAAAATAAAAGCATTTTTTCTGTTTCTTTAACAGGAGTGCATTGGCCCCGACAACATAAAAGGTCTCGATGAGGTCCATGACTTGGCGGCCTGTCTTGTTATCCTGCATAAACAAGATAGAGCAATAGACAACAGCCAAGCAGACAACATCACAAGACTGTGGGCTGCTTTGTAAGAATATGACAAAAGACCCACTGTATTTACACCACCTTTCATCAGTTCCTCTCCAAGAAGAAGGTTTAAGGCCTCGAAGTCAACTGTTGCTCCTGGAGTCAAAGCTACCTGCCAGTAATCATAGCATTTACAAATTCATTGCAATGTTAGAAAGCCGCACGGTCTCAATACATAACGTTTTACATGTAATTGTTACAAATATTATTAATGGTTCCATTTCTCTTCAGCTGCTTCCTCAGTCAAAACACTGGGCCTGCCCAGCGACCAGATATTAATCGGTACATGGAGACTATTACCAATAAACTTTGTGCTGTCTACACTGGAAATGTGCTTGAAAAAGGAGTTAGAGTGTTGAGGTGGCCCCTTATCCTGAGGACCCACCAAAACATCAAAACCCTGTTAGTTCAGTGCTCCAAACACGGAGCACTGAACGGAAATTCAGTTGATTGACATAAATCAGTCTACTCTAACGCAATGGTACGTAAACTAAATATCCATAAAACTAATCTGCGTAGCTGGTATAAGATTAAGCTATAACTAGAGAAGTGTTAAACACTAATACAAAGTAAAATCTGCTATGAGCCAGTCTATATTTAAATTTGCAGCAGGAAAAGAATGGAGCAGTTTACCTAAAGAATTACAGGCTAAAGACTTAACTTAAGAACTTTTAAGTAAAAAACATTCCAGTATTTGTTAGAGCAAGACAGAGTATATCATAAATGTTGCATTTAGTTAATAGTTGTTACTGTTGTAACCAAATTTTCCCTTTTTAAAATAGTTTTTATTGCTAACACTTTGAAATATTTTATCAACTGCACATAGTTTTATACCAGCTGTCTGTATATTTAAATTCAGCTGATCTATTTTCAGTATAAATAAAGTACAGTATGTATGATGTGATGATGATGATGTTTTACATTTAAACCACTGTGGTGGTGACTGGGAAACTGATATTTCCAATTTTCTACTTTGTACAGGCCCTCCACCAATGGGATTACATTGACCAGGACCAGAGGACCAGCAGGACCAGAGTTGCTTCTGAATCATTGCCCTAAAAACAGTTTTTGAATGCCCAGGCATAATTTGCTACTCTGTATAGTTAATAATTTAGGATAACCTAAAGTACATAATTATATAATTATATTACTTAACAAAACTGTTCAGAGTAATTCACATTTGTATCAATCTTGTACCGATGAATAACATTGTACATGTAAAAATTACCTACAATAATATTATAAAATGATTTATGGTACCATTTGAGTTGTATTTTAATTATGTTTCTCACCTTTTAAAGGTCACTGTTCCTGGGTTGATGGTTTGCATATGCACTGAAGTAGGTTTATGCATGAAGCAACCAGTGTGTTTTGAATTGTCCCTGTAAAGTACAAGATAATACTTCGCTCTCTTTGAATGCCAAGGGAAGTATATTCTAAAAATCAATGCACTCTCTGATCCATCACTGGCTGTTTCATTGTGTATTCTTGTGTATGAACAATATGCCATGCACAAACTTGTGATAAACTTATTCTCCTCATCCGAACCACTGGTGAAGTCATAGGCTGTCCTGACTTACAAACCATGGCTTTAAAGTAAATTGTGACTATAT